AGTCAATCTTCATCTTACACACGTAAAACACAACAAACATCGTGTCACTCAATCTACATCTTACACACGTAAAACACAACCAACGTCGTGTCACTCAATCTACATCTTACACACGTAAAACACAACCAACATCGTGTCACTCAATCTACATCTTACACACGTAAAATACAACCAACGACATGGCAGTCAATCTTCATCTTACACACGTAAAACACAACCAACATCGTGTCACTCAATGTACATCTTACACACGTAAAACACAACCAACGACATGTCAGTCAATCTTCATCTTACACACGTAAAACACAATCAACGTCGTGTAAAACAATCTCCATCTTACACACGTACAAGAAAAGCATCATCGTGTCACCCAATTTATACCATCCACGCGTAAAATACTCCCTGTGACTTCTCCCTGTGTTCACCTAGCACGTGCCAAATACATCATCATCTAAATACCATGCCACAGTTTAACATGGATTCCCTTTTCGCCTAGCGCCCGACATGGTCAAAGAAAGTACCGCCTGTAAACGTCCTTCGTTACGGTGAGGTGAGTGAGTGAGTATGGTTTTACGCCGCTTTTAGCAATATTCCAGCAATATCAAGGCAGATGACGCCACAAATGGGCTTCACAAAATTGTACTCATGTGGGGAACTGAACCGGGTCTTCGGCGTGACGAGCGAACGCTTTAACCACTAGGCTACCCGACCGTCCCTACGGTGAGGTGAGGTAAAATGAGGTATAACGTCGTATTCAAGATTATTGCACTTATATAGCGACGCGCATGCACATGTGTGTGGCTGCTTGATGCCGATTTATAGTGCTAGCCCACTGAGATACCATGCCGCAGTTTAACATGAATACCCCACTCAGATACATTATACTACCAGTAGACTACGGAGGCGGTCCCTTCGTTATGGCGTGCACAGAGGATCGAACCCGACCTTCCGCGCCCCGGGAAGTCCCTACAGCAGGTGGGCGGTCTCTATGACAGGCCGCTCTGTGGTGAGGTGTGTTGGGATCTGTAATGTGGCGGTCAGAATCAGTGTAAGGTGAAGTCGGGCGTAGCGTCGCGTGTATGACTATTATCCCCCACCAGTGGGACGTGGAAGGGGGATATAGGAATGGGTGCTGTCCGTCTATCACGTTTGTTTCCTGAGCAGAACTAAAAAACTATTAAGAGATATCTTAACCAAACTTGGCACAGAAATAGGTCTAGTGGTGAACTAAGGCATTGTGATAGTTTGGCATTTTTGGAAAAAATATTTTTCGAGTTTCATTGCAAAGGACTTTGACTTGTCATATTGGCATGTCATATTCCATGCACGTGTGTGTGTGTGTGCGTGCGTGCGTGCGTGCGTGCGTGCGTGCGTGCGTGCGTGCGTGCGTGTGGCTGCTTTGTACTAGTTCGGACTAAAGCAGATTTTATAGTGCTAGCCCACTGAGATACCATGCCACAGTTTAACATCAATACCCCACTCTGGCACAGTATACTGAATCCTAGCCGACCAGTCCTGTTTTTGCCCCGCAATGCCGAGCGCCAGGCAGGGCAACAAGTAGAACCATCTTTTAACGTCTGTTGGTGTGACGTGGCCGGGGATCGAACCCTGATCTTCGTCTCTCGGGGCGGTCGCTCAGTCACTGGACCACGGAGGCAGTCTGAATCAGTGTGGTTTGTTGGGAGTGAAAACGTAGTGGTCTGTGATGTTAAAGTATGTGGCAATGTGGCCTGTAACATGGCGGTATATATGCAATGCGGTGGCCTCTAACATGGTGGTATATATGCAATGTGGTGGTCTGTAACATTGTGGTATATATGCAATGTGGTGGTCTGTAACATAGTGGTATATGTGCAATGTGGTGGTCAGTAACATAGTGGTATATATGCAATGTGGTGGTCTATAACATGGTGGTATATATTCAATGTGGTGGTCTGTAACATGGCAGTATATATGCAATGTGGTGGTCTGTAACATGGTGGTATATGTGCAATGTGGTGGTCTGTAACATGGCAGTATATATGCAATGTGGTGGTCTGTAACATCGTGGTATATATGCAATGTAATGGTCTGTAACATGGTGGTATATATGGGGTTTGTTGGTCTGTAACATGGTGGTATACATGCAATGTGGTGGTCAGTAACATGGTGGTATATATGCAATGTTGTGGTCTGTAACATGGTGGTATATATGCAATGTAATGGTCTGTAACATGGCGGTATATATGCAATGTGGTGGTCTGTAACATGGTGGTATATATGCAATGTAATGTTCTGTAACATGGTGGTATATATGGGGTGTGGTGGTCTGTAACATGGTGGTATATATGCAATGTGATGGTCTGTAACATGGTGGTATATATGCAATGTGGTGGTCTTTTACATGGCGGTATATATGCAATATGGTGGTCTGTAACATAGTGGTATATATGCAATGTGGTGGTCTGTAACATGGTGGTATATATGCAATGTTGTGGTCTGTAACATGGTGGTATATATGCAATGTGGTGGTCTGTAACATAGTGGTATATATGCAATGTAATGTTCTGTAACATGGTGGTATATATGGGGTGTGGTGGTCTGTAACATGGTGGTATATATGCAATGTGATGGTCTGTAACATGGTGGTATATATGCAATGTGGTGGTCTTTTACATGGCGGTATATATGCAATATGGTGGTCTGTAACATAGTGGTATATATGGGATGTGGTGGTCTGTAACATGGTGGTATATATGCAATGTGGTGGTCTGTAACATGGTGGTATATATGCAATGTAATGGTCTGTAACATGGTGGTATATATGGGGTTTGTTGGTCTGTTACATGGTGGTATATATGCAATGTGGTGGCCTGTAACATGGTGGTATATATGCAATGTTGTGGTCTGTAACATGGTGGTATATATGCAATGTGGTGGTCAGTAACATGGTGGTATATATGCAATGTGGTGGTCTGTAACATGGTGGTATATATGCAATGTGGTGGTCAGTAACATGGTGGTATAAATGCAATGTGGTGGTCTGTAACATGGTGGTATATATGCAATATGGTGGTCTGTAACATAGTGGTATATATGCAATGTGGTGGTCTGTAACATGGCGGTATATATGCAATATGGTGGTCTGTAACATGGTGGTATATATGGGGTGTGGTGGTCTGTAACATGGTGGTATATATGCAATGTGGTGGTCTGTAACATGGCGGTATATATATGCAATATGGTGGTCTGTAACATGGTGGTATATATGGGGTGTGGTGGTCTGTAACATGGTGGTATATATGCAATGTGATGGTCTGTAACATGGTGGTATATATGCAATGTGGTGGTCAGTAACATGGTGGTATATATGCAATGTGGTGATCTTTTACATGGCGGTATATATGCAATATGGTGGTCTGTAACATAGTGGTATATATGGGATGTGGTGGTCTGTAACATGGTGGTATATATGCAATGTGGTGGTCTGTACCATGGTGGTATATATGCAATGTGGTGGTCTGTAACATAGTTGTATATGTGCAATGTGGTGGTCTGTAACATAGTGGTATATATGCAATGTGGTGGTCTGTAACATGGTGGTATATATGCAATGTGGTGGTCTGTAACATGGCGGTATATATGCAATATGGTGGTCTGTAACATAGTGGTATATATGCAATGTGGTGGTGGTATATATGCAATGTGGTGGTCTGTAACATAGTGGTATATGTGCAATGTGGTGGTCAGTAACATAGTGGTATATATGGGGTGTGATGGTCTGTAACATGGTGGTATATATGCAATGTGGTGGTCTGTAACATGGTGGTATATGTGCAATGTGGTGGTCTGTAACATGGCAGTATATATGCAATGTGGTGGTCTGTAACATGGCAGTATATATGCAATGTGGTGGTCTGTAACATGGTGGTATATATGCAATGTGGTGGTCTGTAACATGGTGGTATATATGCAATGTGGTTGTCTGTAACATGGCAGTATATATGCAATGTGGTGGTCTGTAACATGGTGGTATATATGCAATGTGGTTGTCTGTAACATGGCAGTATATATGCAATGTGGTGGTCTGTAACATGGTGGTATATATGCAATGTGGTGGTCTGTAACATGGTGGTATATATGGGATGTGGTGGTCTGTAACATGGTGGTATATATGCAAGAAGAGGGGTGTTAAGTTTGGTATTTCCAAGATATTCTCACATCGATTATCTATACCTTTTCTCCCAATATTGACGGTCATATCTCTTCCACTTTTGGATGCAATCGTTGGAGGACTGCATTTATCTATGTTACCCAGCTACATCTATGGGGAACAACTCACTGGACACTTCCCTTTCAAAATTAACGTTACCCAATTTACGACATCATCAAGTTGTGAGGGCATGTTCGAATCTCAAGAAATGTCATGATGGAACAATATTTTATTGTGAAATAAACCAAGCTTCGGTCTCCTTTGTTCTTCGCAATTTATGGTGTAGCTATCTTTTGGTACACGTGGTGTGGTGGTCTGTAACATGGCAGCCTTTGGACATATAGGGAGAATATTACCGAGTGTGGCATTAAACAAACAGACTTTGGTGTGGTGGTCTGTAACATGGCAGCCTTTGGACATATAGGGAGAATATTACCGAGTGTGGCATTAAACAACAAACAAACTTTAGTGTGGTGGTCTGTGGTCTGGTTTCCATCCATGCACTATTAGTGAGTGAGTGAGATTTTACGCCGTTTTTAGCAATATTTACGCCGTTTTTAGCAATATTCCAGCAATATCACGGGGGGGGGGGGGGCGGGTGAGGGACACCAGAATTGGGCTTCACACACTGTACCCATGTGTTGAACCCGGGTCTTTGGCGTGAAGAGCGAACGCTTTAACCACTTGGCTACCTAACCGCCATGCAGACTATTAAAGTGAGTGAGTGAGAGTGATTTGGGTATAACATGGCTTTGAACTGTATTTCAGGGGCAGTCAGTAAATAATGACTAAAACAAAAACACAAAAACACATGATAAATATTTTATTTCACACTTCTGCAACACATACACAGCTGTGGTAACTTATACATACTCCAATACCTAGTGTCACTTATAGGCCTTGTAGTTGTCTGGTAAGTCTGTAGTCGCTAGACACCAACAGACCCCTGACATCTACACAGAACCACTGACAGAACACATGGCTTCTTGCCTGATGTACAGTAGCAGATCTTGCTTCCCTGTTCATATGACTTGTACCATGATACAAGTGTTAGTAATGGGGTAACAGTGTCTAGTCAGGACAGGTGTTAGTTCTGTAAAACAGAATAATGTTCTCTTGTGTATGTCAGAAATAGCACTATCAATGCATCAAATCCTAAAGCGCTGACCCAACAATCAATATTGTTTACAAAGAAAATTACATCACATGGTGCCAATGAGTACCCCTTAAAATATTCCTGCTATCAATTCCTGTGTATCATTCCCATGTACCTACCCCGCTGATGTATCCTTAACTGGCTTTAGCCACAAATATCCCAACTACCCACGCCCCCAGATATGACCATACCACCCACTCACCCATGCCTCCATATATGACAATACCACCCACCCACCCTGTCCCCATATATGACCATATCTCCCAGACATCCTCAGATTCTTCAACTGAAACACATCTACTACAGTAACCATGGCAACAGTCCGAACATCTATCCAGGAGGATGTTCTTCCAGTGAGTATTCATTTCACATGGCATTATGTGTGCAAGACCTCAAACATGAGGTCATTAAGTCAAGTCCATGGTCAGTCCCTATATCCCCAGATATGAGACCTCCAACATATACCACCAGAGGTGACTACGTCGATCACACCACGATTCCTACATTCCCCGGTGTGAGGCACCTTGTTAGGAGTGAGACTCTCTCAGATGTTAGAGCTGTAGGGCTTAGTACCCAGGCAATGTACAATATGATCATGTCAAACAGAGAGAGACACACTCCACCGTATGAGCTCTACAGACATAAAAGACCACCCTCCTTCTACCGGGTGGAGGCCATGATGGTTGGGTCACAACCACGGATCTTCATGCCCTGAGGGGGGTCGACGTAGATGTTGTTGTACAGCTCCTCCAGGGGAAGTTCCTTATCCGTCTTGGCCTTCTCTGCCGCCGTCTCAACCTCCTTCCTCACCTCAGTATCGATTTTCTGCAACAACCACATCAGAACTAGGCCCCACTTGTTTTACTTAATGGTTTACAGATGTTTAGCAAACCTATCAGCTTGTGTAGATCAAAATAAAATACATTTGTGCATCTCAAATTTTTTTGTCAAATATCATATGGCATGAGGTTGTTTTGTTCAGTTAATTTCTGAAATGTGAGTGAATGATTGAGTGTAGATAACACTGCCTTGAACAGTATTCCAGTAATATTACGGTGTGTCAGCTAAATTCGGGAGGAAAGCCAAAAGTGATGCAGGTCTTAGACATTTACCCAAACGGATATGCTGCTGACAAACATAATTTCTAAAGAACCTAATTTCTAATCTTAAGAAAAAATACAGAAAAGTGAAGGATGTTTTGTCCTAAATTTGCAGAAACTTGTACAATTATTTAATTGTCAGAAAAGCCTTGGTCCTCTTTATTAGATGTTTGTAGTGACCTGACCATTTATAAATACACTGATATATACTGATATATACTTAATATACATCTACCGGTAATTCAGTTAAAACATACCCAGTGATACCACTTTAAAGAAATTTGATGCAATGGTCGGAAGAAAATGTATCTGAAATTATTATGTTATCAGGAATGATATATTCCAATATCGTGTTATTTTAGTTGCAGCTTCCGCCATATATACTTAAAATTATAAGAACCACAAGCGTAGCACTTTGGTACAGATTGCATGCAGGATATTTTTTTAAGTATGGAACAATTTTGACCAGTCACCGTAGGGACATGCCGCGCAACATGTATTTCAACTGCGAAAACGTTTTGTTGACATTTAATTGTCAAACTGCCACAAATATGACTTTTAGCGGGTCATGGTACGGCATTTATGATATGTGTATCCATTCTCTTGCGACTAAAGTTCATTTCAAGGCGTCAATAGCGGTAATCTGACTGTGGTTGCTGTTAATAACGACGAGTTGTGCAATTTACCGATCACTTCATATATGATTTTGCCGAAATTATTGTAAACATTATTATAATTATTGAATGAAATTTTGAATATAATTTAAAAAAATATATTGCAAACATTAGTCCAGATAAACAATGAACATTTTTTTTTACTACCAGATATTATAGTAATAGGATTAAATTGCGTACTTCAGTTCGGATTTGTTGACTGGTATTTCCGGTGTTACGTAATCGCGGTGATCAGCTGATAATGTTTTATGAGATGGGGGGAAAACATTGTGTCATTGGAAAACTTGAGTTTTACTGAAAATGTTAGTAAATTTTGGGAGCCATGCTTTACCGCACACTATAACCGAGTTAGCGCTATATTGAAGGGCGTAATAACGAGGGAACACTGTATTTATAAAAGAGAGTATTTTAAAAATTACATGACGTTTTGTTACATTTTTCGAATTCAGTCCAGCAAATACATAATTATTTTAGGTTGTGATTGTTCTTGAAATAAATCAAGAATTATCGCCTTACTACTAACACCATATCTGGCATAGATTAGAGATACTGTCACCAAGTCCAGCAGCAAAGCCTGTATATAAACAACAGAGACAAAACATATGTCACATGATTAATAATAATGGTGACCCAGTAACTAAAGTCTTGCACTTCTGGACTGCTGTACCTTGAGCTCCTCTTCTGTGGCAAGACCTGAAGACAACAGCCTATCCTTGAAGTTTGTGATGGGATCACGCTTTTCTCTCACCTCCTGGATCTCAGAGCGGGGGCGGTAGCTGAAAGGAGACAGGGTGATTGTCTAGGTAGCTTTCCTCCAGGTCTACTGTTTCCAATAGAATGAGCGATTGAGTGAGCGCTTCCAGTTATATCACAGCGTGTCAGCTTGATGAGGGAGGAAAGCCTGAAGTGATGCATGTCTTAGACGTTAATTACTTTGGTGAAACCCATGATGCTGATAAACCTAGAAACAATTGGGGGAATCGGGATTCAAACCCCGATATGAGTGGGTGAGATCAAGCGACATCTACACTGTAGATATCGCTGCAATGAAATTGCATCACAATGCTTTGCAGACCATTGTGACATCATTGGTTACCATGACGTCACAATCATATGACATCACTAATGGCTCTGCTACTGAAGGTGTTAGCAGTACTTTTTACACACACTGCTAATTACTGTCTACAAACTGAAAAAGTTGGAAGAATGATGTTGGATGATGAATAAAATCTCACCCTCATGTCTTTTGATATCAAATATATCAACACTCGTTGATAAAAGTTGAAAATCTCCTCAGCAAGCCTTGGAGTGTTCCACTTTTATCAACTCGTGTTGATATATTTGATATCAAAAGACACTCGGGTGAGATTCTCTGTTTAACATTATGAACATTACAGCAAACTAGAAGTATTTTCTTTTGTGAATTGACTTTGGCAGATGACTTCCACACACGCACGCACGCATGTTGGATGTGTTTGAGCCTAGCTGTGGACCCAATGGGAGTACCTGGTCCCGGGGTCACTCATACTGTGTCCGCTGTATCTGTAGGTGACGGCTTCAATCAGGATGGGTCCATTCTTCAATGCATAATCCTTGGCAAACCTTGTTCCTTCTCTCATAGCCAGGACATCCATACCATCAATCTGCCAGAGGAATAACACAAACATCAGACAACCCTGTGACTGACCCAGAACGTACTGAACATCTATCCCCCACGTTACCTACAGCCGGGCACTACTGCTCAAAGGAGGTCAAATGAATTTTTATTAAAAAACAGAAAACATGTACTGAGCCCCTACAAGCTACACTTGTACCAAATTTGATTATATTGTGTACAAAAAGGCTGAGTAATGGACTAAGCCATATTGAAAATCAGATTCGATCCTCTTGAACAAATTCAAGGGTGTTGTCATTCATGGGTATATATATATATGTATGTGAAGTGTCAGCTAGATGGCAAATGGTTTCTTAGGCATGTTAGGAGAAGATGTTATCAGAGAGAGGATATGCATTTTGAGACAATTTAGGAATAATATCTACACAAGGAGCAAACTTTACGACAGTTTGAAAGAAAATGGCTGTGTAATAGCCATAAGAAGTTTCAGTTTTTTAAGTCAAATCAAGGTCAAACTGTAAATATCGCAATAATCAGATATTTCTATCTGGTGCCACACTAGTAAGTAAACATACCAAAATTCAAAATATATTGAACAAAAATGGCTTAGGGATGGCTAATAAGGTTTTCAACAGGGCTGCAATGGTGGGCATATTAAAAAATGAGATTTGAACCTCTTGAACAAAGTGTGGTGTTATCATTGGTGGGTGCAAGCATGTAAAATTCAGATTCATTGTGGCTTCTGACAAGAAGATGTTTAGGCCCAACAATGTACGCTGGACAAACAGGCCACAACCTAAGCTAACTTGACTTTCAGTAAGCCAAAAAACACAGGGGATACTTTATTTCACCATTCCTCAGAGTTCGTTGCTAGTCCTGTTTGAGCAAAACAAAAATGTTAACCTGTCAGTTGTCTGCCAGTTCCATTCAGTTGCAATGTGCAGCAGCACGGAGACCTGATTCAGAACTATTGCCTTCAAATGCTACTGGGCTATGAGAAGGGCCATTAATGTTTTATACTTGTCCAAAGCACAATTAAGTAGTCTCGGTCTAGTGGACTAGTGAGAATTTTGAAAGCTGCTTGAAGAATCAAACGTTTTTGGTATACACTGTTTGATTGTTTGTTGTTTTACGCAGCACTCACCAATATTCCAACTATATGAAGGCAGTCTGTAAATAATCAAGTATGGACCAGACAATCCAGTCATTGACATCATGAGCATCGATACACGCAATTGGGATCGATAACATGCATCAACCAAGTCAGCAATCCCGTTAGTTGCCTCTTACGACAAGCATAGTCGCCTGTTACGACAATCATGGGTTGCTGAAAACCTCTTCTACCCCTTTAGGGTCAGGCACACACTGTGCAGCTATAGTTACATGTAGCTTTATCAAATGAACATTCGTAAACAATGTAACCATGGCGGTGTTAAGTAAGTGTGAAGGGTATATGTTTGTGACATACAAATCAACTCACCCACAGTCCGGGTACGTAGTCTCCGCGGGTGTAGTAGGCTGTGCTGGCCGAGGCCCTGTCCACGCTGGTGCCCATACCGTAGCCATTGTTCTCACACACGAAGATGCAGGGCAGATTCCACAACTTGGCCATGTTGAAGGTCTCATACAGCTGGCCCTGATTGGCAGCACCATCTCCATACAGAGTGACACAAATAGCCTCGTCACCGCGGTACTTGGAGGCAAACGCTATACCAGCCCCGAGGGGCACCTGCAGGTAAGAGAGGGTTTGCAGGTCATGCTGGACTACTGATATACAAATGTGTAGGTGTAACCAACTGAGTACTCTGAAGTTCATACTTTTTATACCATATACTTATCCTTACCATAGTTTTAACCAAAAATGTATACTGAAAGAATAAAGGGTCTTATTTTATTTAACTAATAAATATTTAATTAGATTGTCAATGGTTTTCTAATGCCGCACACAAAAAGATTTTCTGTTTGTTTGTCTGTTTGTTTGTTTAACGCCGCACTCACCAATATTCCAGCAATATGACGGCATGGGCTGCTGAAGACCTATTCTACCCCGAATCTTCACGGGTCCACTCGAAAAGAACCAGAACAACACTTGATATGAAAGAGAGGCCTACTTCTCCCTGCTGTCAAGATTAACCCTCTCCGCCATCAAAAAGATTTACAGCGGGCTGCTGATTCAGAGTCAATCCTAATCAAACCAACCTGTGCTCCTACAATGCCGTTTCCACCATAGAAGTTGTGGCCATACATGTGCATTGAACCTCCCTTGCCCTTGGCGCAGCCGGACACCCGACCTGCACAACAAAAATACATAATAACTAGGGCTGCAACGATACAGGAAGGTCACGATAAGATACGCATCTCGATATTCTGGTCACGATACGATACGTATCTCGATACGCAATGATAAAAAATGTTTTATAATAACAAGACTACTGAAGTAGTTCAGCTTCAAAGTGGAACTTTCTCTAACTTTCCTTCAAAACAATTCAAAGTTCAAACACCAGAAAATAATTAATGTACAACTTCAAAGAATTTTGATGCAATGGTCGAAGAAATTGTATCTGGAATAATTGTTTTATCAGGAATAATATATTCCAATATCGAGTTACCTTAGTTACAGCTTTTACTATATATATATTTAAAATAATAAGAAGCACAAGTGTAGCATTTTGGTACTGGTGATTGCTGTTGCAGGATATTTTTACGTATGGAACAATTTGACCAGTCACCCTAGGGACTTCCCGTGCTACATGTATTTCGATTGTGAAAACGTTATGTTGACATATATTCGCCAAATTGCCACAAATATGACTTTTAACGAGTCAAAGTATGGCATTTTTAATATATGTATCCATTCTCTAGCAACTGAAGTTTGTTTCAATGCGTCAAAAGCGGTAATCTGACCGTGGTTGCTGTATCTCTTCACACACGATTTCACATAACTTAATGAAAACAATATTAAATGAAATTTTGAATATGATTAATCAAATATATTGCAAACACAAGTCCAGATATACAATGAACACGTTTTAATAACAAGATAGTATAATAATGGTATTGAATTGCGTACTTCAGTTCGGATTTGCTGACTGGTATTTTCGGTGTTGTGTGCTTGCGGTGATCAGCTGATAATGTTTTATGAGATGAAGTAAAAACATCTGTCAGTGTAAAACCTGAGCTTATTAAAAATGTAAGTACGTTTTTGGGAGCCATGCGTTAGAGCGCGCTATAACCAAGTTAGCGGTTTATTTAAAGGCACAATAGCGAGGAAACGCTGTACTTGGGATTTGCGTTTCGTATCGTGGCGTATCGATAAATGGGCCCACGTTTATCGTATATCGTATTGTGGGTCAAGTATAGCGATGCATCGGAATGTCGGTGTATCGCTTCACCCTTAATAATAACGTATTAACACAGCTTCAACAGGCACATAATTACTTGGCCCTGCTGTTACAACAGACACATGGAGCACAGCTGATCATCATACCAATACTTACTACAGATGAAGCATTGATTATCACCTTTGTTACAACAAGCACATGGAGAACAGCTGATCATCATACCAATACTTACTACAGATGAAGCATTGATTATCACCTTTGTTACAACAGACACATGGAGCACAGCTGATCATCATACCAATACTTACTACAGATGAAGCATTGATTATCACCTTTGTTACAACAAGCACATGGAGAACAGCTGATCATCATACCAATACTTACTACAGATGAAGCATTGATTATCACCTTTGTTACAACAGACACATGAAGCACAGCTGATCATCATACCAATACTTACTACAGATGAAGCATTGATTATCACCTTTGTTACAACAGACACATGGAGCACAGCTGATCATCATACCAATACTTACTACAGATGAAGCATTGATTATCACCTTTGTTACAACAGACACATGGAGAACAGCTGATCATCATACCAATACTTACTACAGATGAAGCATTGATTATCACCTTTGTTACAACAGACACATGAAGCACAGCTGATCATCATACCAATACTTACTACAGATGAAGCATTGATTATCACCTTTGTTACAACAAGCACATGGAGAACAGCTGATCATCATACCAATACTTACTACAGATGAAGCATTGATTATCACCTTTGTTACAACAGACACATGAAGCACAGCTGATCATCATACCAATACTTACTACAGATGAAGCATTGATTATCACCTTTGTTACAACAAGCACATGGAGCACAGCTGATCATCATACCAATACTTACTACAGATGAAGCATTGATTATCACCTTTGTTACAACAAGCACATGGAGAACAGCTGATCATCATACCAATACTTACTACAGATGAAGCATTGATTATCACCTTTGTTACAACAGACACATGAAGCACAGCTGATCATCATACCAATACTTACTACAGATGAAGCATTGATTATCACCTTTGTTACAACAAGCACATGGAGAACAGCTGATCATCATACCAATACTTACTACAGATGAAGCATTGATTATCACCTTTGTTACAACAGACACATGGAGCACAGCTTATCATCATACCAATACTTACTACAGATGAAGCATTGATTATCACCTTTGTTACAACAAGCACATGGAGAACAGCTGATCATCATACCAATACTTACTACAGATGAAGCATTGATTATCACCTTTGTTACAACAAGCACATGGAGAACAGCTGATCATCATACCAATACTTACTACAGATGAAGCATTGATTATCACCTTTGTTACAACAAGCACATGGAGCACAGCTGATCATCATACCAATACTTACTACAGATGAAGCATTGATTATCACCTTTGTTACAACAGACACATGGAGCACAGCTGATCATCATACCAATACTTACTACAGATGAAGCATTGATTATCACCTTTGTTACAACAAGCACATGGAGAACAGCTGATCATCATACCAATACTTACTACAGATGAAGCATTGATTATCACCTTTGTTACAACAGACACATGGAGCACAGCTGATCATCATACCAATACTTACTACAGATGAAGCATTGATTATCACCTTTGTTACAACAAGCACATGGAGAACAGCTGATCATCATACCAATACTTACTACAGATGAAGCATTGATTATCACCTTTGTTACAACAAGCACATGATGCACAGCTTATCATCATACTAATACTTACTACAGATGAAGCATTGATTATCACCTTTGTTACAACAAGCACATGGAGCACAGCTGATCATCATACCAATACTTACTACAGATGAAGCATTGATTATCACCTTTGTTACAACAAGCACATGGAGAACAGCTGATCATCATACCAATACTTACTACAGATGAAGCATTGATTATCACCTTTGTTACAACAAGCACATGAAGCACAGCTGATCATCATACCAATACTTACTACAGATGAAGCATTGATTATCACCTTTGTTACAACAAGCACATGGAGAACAGCTTATCAAATTATCAAAAGGACATGTGATGCATAGATTATCACCATCCTTACAACAGACACATGGAGCACAGATTGTCACCATTCTTACAACAGACACATGGAGTATAGATTATCACCATCCTTACAACAGACACATGGAGCATAGATTGTCACCATTCTTACAACAGACACATGGAGTATAGATTATCACCATCCTTACAACAGACACATGGAGCATAGATTGTCACCATCCTTACAACAGACACATGGAGTATAGATTATCACCATCCTTACAACAGACACATGGAGTATAGATTATCACCATCCTTACAACAGACACATGGAGCACAGATTGTCACCATTCTTACAACAGACACATGGAGTATAGATTGTCACCATCCTTACAACAGACACATGGAGCATAGATTGTCACCATTCTTACAACAGACACGTGGAGCATAGATTGTCACCATTCTTACAACAGACACGTGGAGCATAGATTGTCACCATTCTTACAACAGACACATGGAGTATAGATTGTCACCATCCTTACAACAGACACATGGAGCATAGATTGTCACCATTCTAACAACAGACACATGGAGCATAGATTGTCACCATTCTAACAACAGACACATGGAGCACAGATTGTCACCATTCTAACAACAGACACGTGGAGCATAGATTATCAGCACTACTACAACATGTACAATAGACACATTAAGCATATCTTATCAGTATAACTACAACAGACACGTCACTTTTCAACATTGCCATTGGGTGACACAGGCTGAGCTATTGTGGTCATAAGCTCTGGGAGACTGACAGCAGATCCTAAGCAACTATGATACCATATCAAGTCGTACCTGTGAGCTCGGACAACACTCCCTGCACTGAGACTCCCCTCATGAAGGTCCAGCCATGAGCCCTGTAGGCGGTGATCACAGAGTCATCGGGCGTCATTGAATTCTCCATACCCACACAGACAGCTTCCTGTAACAGAACAGTGGTCTGTCATTGTGGCTTTAGTTCCCAACCAACAGAACAAGCACTGTAACTTTATTGTTTCATTTTCCATCCCACCTACATGCCATCTGACTGGGATTTAAAGTTTATAAATAATTAAATCAAGAATTTATTACAAAAAGATTTGGTTGAGTTTACTCCTGCAAACTAGTATAAGAAAATAACCAAAAGGACATGATTCAGACACATGCAAGAGTTCAAGGACAAGTACTCACCTGGCCTGAGTAGAGGTGGCAAAAACCACGAATGATTTTAGATTTGTAAAGGTTGCCAGCCATTGTCTCCATTCTACGAACAGTCTGCATCTGTCTGTACATCTTGAGGCCATCGTCCCGGGACAGTGTGACAGATGTGGATGGACCCTGCTCGAGTTTGTGCAGCTTGTAGGACTGAAAACAGGCAGCAAGCACGACGTTAGAGATTGTCACCCTGCCTATTTGTTTGTTTGTGTGTGTGTTTAGTGTTAAACTCCACACTCAGCAATATTCAAGCAATATCATGGCGGTCTGTAATTTTTAAATAATCAAATCTGGACCAGACAATACACTGATTGACATCTTGAGCATCGATCTACGCAATTGGGATGAGATGACATGCATCAACCAAGTCAGCAAACCTGACCACCCAATCTAGATAAGTGCCTCTTACGACATCTTTTGTTGTAGAAAAACCTGAATGTTTACTTTTTAAACATACTAAATCACATGTCACATAACCATACACATGGTGACATTTCAGACTGATCTGTAATTTTTGTGTTTCTTATCAATCCCCCTGGTCAATTTACCTTCCTAATAAAATAAACAAAAAGAATATTTCATATCCACCCATTTTCCCACATAAATATATTGCACTCTAAACCAACATCACCAGGTTGTTTTATTTTTAGTCTCCCCATAAGTGAGTGAGTGAGTATGGTTTTACGCTGCTTTTAGCAATATTCCAGCAATATCACGGCGGGGGACACAAGAAATGGGCTTCACACATTGTACCCATGTAGGGAATCAAACCCGGGTCTTCGGCGTGACGAGCGAACGCTTTAACCACTAGGCTACCCGACCGCCCCAGTCCCCCCATAAGTTAACCATGTGATGGAGATGGGAACACACACAAGGATGAGGAAGTACCAGAAAGACAAATGACAATGTGTTGTCCATCATGAAAGTTTTTTTTAACATACTCTTTTAGGACATAGTTTTCTACTAAGTAATCTGACATAACAGCTGTCTGCTCCAGTAATTGTTAAGGGTGTGCGGTATTACCGGTACACCGGTATGTTGTGGTGCAAATCTTTGGCAATACATATTGCGATACGTATGTAAATGTAGCAATATATTGGGGCAAATATAAATAAGTATATCTATGGTTTCCTAATCGATATGGAGATGGAAAATAGTATCTTTCTGATACAACTTGCCTCTCAATTAGTGTGTACACAATGTGACCATCAAGCTCCTCACAGCAAAAAGGAAAAAATAGTGAGGGACACTGACTGATGGTATCTGACAATAATACAGGAGATAACTCTGATTAACTCATGAAAATGTAAATTGGCAATATATTGCAATACATATCACAATACAGGTTAACGTATGGCAATATATTGCAATACATATCACAATACAGGTTAAAGTATGGCAATATATTGCAATACATATCACAATACAGGTTAAAGTATGGCAATATATTGCAATACATATCACAATACAGGTTAAAGTATGGCAATATATTGCAATACATATCACAATACAGGTTAAAGTATGGCAATATATTGCAATACATATCACAATACAGGTTAAAGTATGGCAATATATTGCAATACAAATCCAGGTCAATACACAGCCCTAGTAATGGTAAAATACAGACTTGGATGATGGTTCTATTGTGGCTGTCATCCATATAGAGGGGTCTTTGTTGCTCCCTGCTTACCTCCACCTGGAAGCTGGCCTCCGATGCAGTTCCATAACTAGAGCCTCGGAGGACGCCCAGCAGCCACTGAAATACAGGGAACAGGCAGTGTTTGAAATAATTTAAAGACCAAACAAGACAGGTCGGGCAGGCGACCCATAAGTGTTGCCTGCCCATCTTCAAAGTTCCTGCCCGCATTCAGACATTATAAATACTGAAAAAAACGCCAAAAAAAGTAAGAGACAAATCGCATATATTGCGTCTTGATTCAGTTGAAATAATGCAAACCATTACTTGAGAATCTACAATGAGTAATAATGAAAACTGAATATACGTAAGTAGTCTTAATACTATCTGTCAGACAGTCGAGTTGGTGGAGGAGAATTTCATGCAGCCTGACAGAAAAGTTACCAGCCATGGGCAGGCTGGCAGGCAGTTATTTCAGACACTACTAACAGGTCACAAAAACACTCCACCATGGAACATGTGAACAATGGTGAAATAAGGGAATAAACATGTGTCATTAAACATATTTCTGAAACTCCTGAATCTCTTTCTAAAATCTTTTACTGTTTCACTTTCAGTGTGGGGGGAATTGCTAATACAGAAAATGTCTTGTTTGTGTTGTGATTAATAGTAGTAGTTCAATCAATTGCTCATAAATTTCATACAAATCAGTATTTTGCTTGAATCTTAAAGCTGAAAACCAAAAAGAAATTGAACCCGGGAAGAACACGGGTCTTTGGCGTGACGAGCGAACGCTTTAACCACTAGGCTACCCGACCGCCCCTTCCCGAGGCATGGGAGTTAATGACTAAAAGTCCAGTTTCCACCCTTGCCGAACTAGGCTGATATTATGGAGTTATACTTTAGCTGGACTATAACAAGTCTATGAATAGTCCAATCAGGAAATGCGTAACGAAATCGACATCCGGTTTGTAAAATGCTGTGCAGATTATGGGCAACAATACAGATCTTGATTATCGATCAGATTGTCTTCACTGGGTGACGTCATTTCATTTGAAGCAAATATAAGTGATATGAGAGGTGGAATCTGATTGGTTAGTAGGAGGGACATAAAAGGGACATAACTTGTAATAGCCACTGGTGGCGCTACGATCGAGCCCAGAAATTCCAGCCTAGTTCAGCAAGGGTGGAAACTGGACTTTTACAGTCGGTTAACTCCCTTGCCTCGGGATGATGGCCGGAAAGATACAGGATACCTTGCCCCAGTGAAGACATACGGATCTACAGATTCCTGCAATATCAGAATGTCCGGCGAAGTATGTATATGCAGAGATACATTTAGTATGCTCGGTAGTAAGGGATAATTCAAGATGTTCAGTTGATATATCTTCTGATATTCATGATTATACCTGGAAATTCTGGATGCGAGGCTAATGCCGACTTGTTTGAAGTATCTGAGATGTTTGACTGACCATTATCTGAGGCTCATAAAAATTAGATTAATTTCAATTTATGTAAATAAATACTTAACTTGATTACCTTCTGAAGATATACTGATGGAAATGAAAAAGGGACATTTTAGACACAGTGAAATGATATGCTGTCATGGGTTCCCTGCCTTGTCTAAAAAATACACGTTGGAAACAATGCACACAATCATATCTCAACCTTTGATTCTGACATGTGTTGAATTGGTATGTGGTAGGGCTGGGACGAGTCCAAATTTACCACCCGGGTACCCTCCCCCCTATTACCCGATCCTACCCGGGTAAGCAGTGTAGGTCTCAGGAGATGTCTCAAAATGTCCGATTGGGAACATTTTTAGCATAGCCCTGGCAAAATGTATTAAGATACATGTATTTAACAATCAGGTCATTCATTCACTGAAGTTGAAATAAGTTATATCTTTATTAAACCATATAAAAAATAAAGAAGGAATGGGTGCATAGTCAGAAAGAAATGCGAACATTAGTGACTTGTCGTGTTACCATAGAGTTCTAGATAATTTTTGTCATTAAACAATATATCACGTGACTATCCACGGGTCCGGGTAGTCCTGTGGGTACCCCGGTCCTACTCAGTACCAACCCGACCCGGGTACCCGAGTTACCCGTCCCAGGCCTAGTATGCGAGCTATTTCAAATGTATTGACAGTAAAGCTAAGGTCCCTATATTTTTCACTGTTCCCTTGTTGTATATATTGAACATGTTGAATGAATATCTATTTTTCAAAATAGATACTCGTTTTGTCATGACTGTTGTGTACCGATACGAATATTTTGACGTTAGTTCTTCACTGACGTCAGGCTTCACTGAACAGACTTGTGATGGAAGGAAAGATTCTAAGCAAAGCAAAACTGTCTTAAGATTACGAGGCAGTCAAGAGCAGAGGTATTTTGTAAAGCGTATATGCAAATGTAACACGAGGGGGCTAATCGGATAAATAATATAACGGGTGCACTATACGTAAGGAAGACCCAACGTGGCCAATGACATGTTACCAAATGTCGGGATTACTCCAAAAAAAGTCAATGTCATCATCAGTATCATCGCCTGTCATGCTGTGCGCGAAAACAGGGGTGTAGAAATAAACATGCTTGCATTTAATTCATCAGGAAAGACTCTCTCCAATTACTCACATTTCTTGAACCACCTGCTGCTCTGGCAAGCCTTGCGGATGAAGCTATCATTTTCTTGTAATAACACCGGTAGATAGGACGAAATATAAACCGAACACCCGGGCACAAGCGTCCTTGAATTTCAAGGTCGAAAGGTACACAACTCTAATATCTTTCCACAAGACGTACCACTAATGGATTTTGTTAAAGAACCATGTACATCTTGAAAATAGGGGTCATGTGTGCTAGCTCAGCCGACTAATGACACTCGACACCGGTGTGAAACACCTGAAACAAATCAACGTGATCAGTTGAGAAACGAACACGAGTTATAATATCCAAAAAGGCTATATATTTTTTTAAATATTAGATTGTTACAAAGACACGTGACATCGAACAAGTTGCTTTGTACAGGTGCAGATGTATGTGATATTGTTTCTTTATGTGGATATCCACGGATACATTCCTCAAGCAAGATGACTGCCTCGTGTTATAAATAAAACTTTGGTCGATTGTAATTACGATGTTTGCATTTTGTTTTCATTAATTTGCTATAGCATTGAACAGAATCATTCTATTTCCTCTGCAATATTGTAGGGAAGTTCTTCGATGCGAGACAGATACCACTAAGTCGTTGTTTTCATAAGCCTTTTCGGTTGTAGGCGTGTATATGTTGCAGCCAATGTGTAAAATGTGATTCACTGCAATTTATAAAATAATATATCGGATTATTTCAATTGTTTCAGTGGTGTTAGACAAGGCTGTATTTTAAGTACTGATTGGTTTTTATTACTTATCAATCAGTTGGAGAATGATCTCCAACAGTTTGGAAGTAGAGAAATCTTTGTTCATCAGGATTTATTGGAATTATTTTTGCTTTTGTATGCTGATGATTTGTGCATTTGTTTCAGATACGGTCCTCGAATTGCAGATTCGGAGTGTTAATAAATGGTCATGTGGTCGTTTTGGTATTCATGTTGATCCTTTCATTAGATGTATGAAATAATGGTTTAAACTCCTTAGTATGTCTCAAGACAGATATCCATGACACTGTTACGATATGTTAGTAAAACAAGTTGGAGAAAAACATTGGCTTCAAATATTAAGAATATATTATTTTCCTTTGGGTATGGTTTTGTTTGGGAGTCTCTCAAGATGTTGGTGGGACTGAATGATTCTTGAATGAATTTATCCGTCGGGTTAAAGATTGTCATACACAAACATGGTATTCTAAGGTGTTAAGTGTTTCAAAACTAGAATTATTTTCACTGTTAAAGACTTCGCTTACATTAGAACCATTGTTGATAAGTATATCATCAAAAGAAAAAAGACGTATGCTTACTATATTAAGAATTGGTGAACTGGAAATTATGCATAATATAGGGAGGCGGTTGGGCATCGATAAGACACTTCGGTTTTGACCATAATGTAACGTAAATGTAATAGTCAATGAAATTCATTTTGTATCGATATGTCCGGCATATGTTAATATTCCTTTAAAATATTTACCATTTTTCTGTGGCACCCTTACAATCACAAGACACAATATATTGATATACAATATATCATAGGTTTATCAAACGCTATACATTTACAAGGCTGGTTGGTTGGTTGGTTGTTTAACGCCGCACTCAGCAATATTTGGCTATATGACGGCGGTCTGTAAATTATCCAGTCTGGACCAGACAATCCAGTGACTGACATCATGAACATCATCTTTCCGAGGCAAGAGAGTTAACTTTTATAGTCAGTTAACTCTCTTGCCTCGGGAAGATGCATGAGCATGGGTTGCTGAAGACCTATTCTGTCCCGGATCTTATTACAGGTGAAAACAAATATCTTTTTTCAATATATAATTTTAATTACCAATTCAAGCCAAAACATCACCATTGCAGTTCTTAAATGTCAATGAAATTAAAAGAGATACATTAAACTACAAGACATACATAACTTTTCCCTGCAAGGTCTTTTGTATACCTATTTTTTTACCATGTTTTACCATGTTTTACCATGTTATCGTTTTTGTTTGAAGTAGTTTTGACATTCATACACCAGTCTGAAATCGTTCTGGAGTCACGAGTCGTCATTCCGCTTGTCACGGGATGACACGAATGGGAGAATCAGATGAATAAATTAATAATAATACTTGTTATTCCGATGGCTTCAGAAATAATATTACACGGAAGGTATAGAGGTTATTGAGATATTTTTTATCGTCGAGTGATCTGACAAGTTGATATTTCCAAGAGTGAAGTGTCAATATTTTCAGGCCAATGGAGGAAACAAAGTTTGGCAAGAAAAGAAAAATGTTCTCATATGTATTTTCGTACAGATCTTAGTATGCCCTTAGGAAAACTGAAAGTAATTTCGACATTAAGTGTTTGTTTTTGTTGGGTTTTTTTCATTTCAGTGGAATATCATCACATATATACTGAAACGCAAAAGAAACGTCACCCCAAGTAACATTGCATGGAAAGTTGTCATTTAAATATCTAGGTTCACATTACCTTGTCCGGAAAAATGAAATTTGATGATAAAAAAAGACAAAGCAGATGACAATAAAACCGATCGCCCAATGGCATCACGGAAACGGCCATGTAACCCGATGCACGTGAGTTGAAATGCAAATTGAAATGCACATGCGTTCCCCCATTTCTTGCCCTATAAAAATCCACCCAGATCAGATAACATTCATTCGTTATTGAATTGCTACCACATGCCAAGATTGACAAGAAATCAGTGACACCAAGCCCTCGGACGATTGCAAGCCGGACAAACCGCCCGGCAAGTAGCCAATGCATTTCAAGTCCACGTAAGGGCTATATATACATTCTCCAGAAACGGTACCAGACCACCAACACTACAGATGACCGACCACGTAGTGGAAGACCAAGGGTCACTACCCGACGTCAAGATCGCTTTGTTACTGCTGCGGAATCTGCTCGACAGACCATGGGGACACACCAGCGACACATTAGTGCGGACACCGTGCGACGACGATTGACGAGCAGGCACCTCCACCGTCACAGGCCACACCGAGGACCCATTCTGATACCACGTCATCACCGAGACCGTCTTCAGTGGGCAACACAGCACCAGCATTGTCGCCACCAGCAGTGGAGAAGAGTCCTCTTCTCAGACAAGAGCCGTTACTGTATCTCAACAGTAGATGGCAGAGAAAGTCTGGCGAAGCCGTGGGGAACGTTATTCGGATGCGTGTGTTGTTGAGAGAGACTCTGGGGTGATCCGAGCATCATGGTGTGGGGTGGAATTGGTCTTGCACAGAGGGTCGGCCCTGTGGTCTTCCAGAACATCGGTCCAGGGAGACGCGATGGTGTCACAGCAGCTCGGTACATTTATCAAGTCTGGAGACCACACGCCATACCTCATTTGGCACGTCCCCGCAACCACGAGTTTCAGCGTGATAACGCCCGTGCCCACACTGCGAGAGCAACAAGTGACTTCCTCAAGCAGAATCGCATCAGAACCATGCAGTGGCCTGCCCTCAGTCCCGATTTAAATCCCATTGAGCACCTGTGGGACGAGATTCAAAGACGACTGAATGACGTCCGACCAAGGCCGACAACTGCAGCTGAACTGCGTCAGGCGTTCCTCAGAGTGTGGGCTCAAGTACCTATGGCCTTCATCAACCGCCTCATCCATTCCATGTATCGACGTTGCACGGCAGTCATAAATGCACATGGCGGACACACGAGATACTGACTTATGATGCCATTTTCTCAGAGACAAGTGTTGTGTTTCACTTTAAGAACATTTGACACTTTAATTTCAACCTTGATGGTCAGTTTTGCAAAGTTTCATGTTTTTGATATGTCTCAAAGTATGTTTACAGTGTTTGGACAAATAAGGTTTCTCATATATGTATCCATGGTGACGTTTCTTTTGCGGTTCAGTATAGTATTTTATAACTAAATTATACATAATTAGTGGAATTATTACATTTCCACTATATACTTTCGAATTTAATTACCTGTAAAACATCAGAGTTAGATTTGTTCAGAGGAGGCACGGATGGCCCATCGTCTAAGGCGTAGCACTTCGTTGTGAAGAGTTGTGGCCCTTAGTCGTGACAGGATCGGATAATTCTTTGTTTGTCACCTCCATACCCGTTCTCGCGGATTTCACTTCAGTGGTAAACGTGTGAGACCTGCATCACTTCTGGCTTTCCTACCACATTAAGCTGACACGCCGTGATATAACTGGAATACTAAGTGAGGATCATCCATACATTCTTACCCTTACTTAGTATTCCCACTTCTAAATGCATATCAAAGCAGAAACTGGAATACTGTTCAATGCGGCGATAAAACCAACTCAATCGTTATTCAGAATACATAAATTTAATAGAAGTTCTGTATCACACGGTAACATTGGTATACTAATTCATGGCATAGTCTCATGTTACGTATCACTAAATAGCAAATACTGTATGCTTCTATATCCATTTGTCCAGGACGACAGCTGCTGTATGCAACAGCCCTATATCTAAAGATAAATATTCACGAGGAGACCGCTAGTTGACAAATAGGGCTTTCAGGCTGATAAACGTGATTGTGCATCACTCGACACACCCCAAACATGGCGACACAACAATCAGAACAAACGACAGAGCTGAAGGAGGACAAAATAGCCATTATTGGCAGGTGGGTGAAAAAAAAACCAGCATTCATGTTTGCTAAGTTTGGCGCGATGCATAAAATCAGTGTTTTCATGTGCTTATAACTCGATATTTCAAAAGTTTGCAAACGGTATTCAATGTCACTATCTTCAAGTTGAATGTCACAGAGATGAGTCTCAGATTGTGCTGATGCTGATGATTAAGATTATTGGCATGATAAATGTACATAGCAAGTTTTGTAACTATCTTTACATTAGATGTAGACATTAACGAATTCAACTTAAACAGTGTTGGATGAATAACGAATTTGTATGGAACATATCTATCTCGTAACGTATTGTATTCAGAACAAATCAGTATAAAACGGTATTAAACAGTTGTGACAAGCTGATTGGATCCTAATTAAAACAGTCTATTGCTTGATTGGATCTTTATTGGCAAACGAGATGTTATACCCTTAATCCCTGTTGATCACAGCACCGTGTGTTTCATTACCTGTGTGCAATGTGTTGTTCTTACTGTACTGGCTTCATCTATATCTGTATGCTCTTTGTTATCTATTACCTGTTGTTGTCTATGTTTATCTGCTGGTTATCACAGATGCAGATTGTAGATGTAGGCCATCGGCCAAAACTTACAGCTTACAATTGATCCAACTGTGCACAGTAAAAACGTAATGTGCAGAACAAATTTAAGAAATACAGAACATAGTTTTGTTATTTCCTAAGATTGTTGGCATGATAAATGTACATAGCAAGATTTGTAATTATCTTTACCTGAGATGTAGACGTTAGTGTTGGATGAATAACGAATGTGTTTGGAACACATCTTTACTTACAATGGTAATTTCTTTCAAATATAGTTCAACATTAAGAAGTGAGTTAAAAGAGGGATAAATTTATTTTTTGGAATTGTTTGACAATGAGAAATGCCAGTCCTGTTCAAAAGCAAATTTAGTCTGATAACAAATTCTGAAATAAACGATTCTTTTAATGAAACATTTTGAGCTTCCATACATATCCAAATCCAAAGCGATATAACAAAGATTTCAGTTTGGAATCCCAGTTAATCTTAACATTGTTTGCAGTTTGAATTATCATAATGTAACATTTTCTAAGGTATCTGGCATTGCTAATAACGTAAACCAGTATATAATTACACGTTAGCTGTTGATATGTAAATCGACCACATTCACATAGGACAACATAATTTAGAGTAAACATCTTTACTCAAAAATACCTCTTATATGCCGTTATCTGTACAGATTCCAATTGTTTAAATTTGTCTACCTCATATTTCCGCGCCATGAAGTAGAACTGGTGCAATCTGTGGGCATTGCCTAAAAGTCGGGCCGGGCCGGGCCAAAGTGTTATTGGCTAATTACTTCATTATCGGCGATCATACCTACATATTATTGATGCAACATACACACATGACATTACTGAATAAATCACCAACCAAAAACGTGAAACATAATTAGGTATTTCGGAGTAAATCGCTTGAAATCCAGAAAGTGGAGCTGTGTGTAAGCGTCGCTGATCTAGGTAACATGTAAAAGGGCAATCGTTAAACGAAATAAGACTTGAAACGTATCAAATACTTCTAGCTATCGAGATACAAATTTCCACCTGTCGGCATAGCGTTTATATTTATAGGATAGTACTATATCTATGTAAATACCACTTAATAATGTCACTGTTCATCGTGTATAAAGCAGACACGTTGGTTAAAGTAGACCTCTTCTCTCCATACTCTCAACATTCTCACAAGTGTTCGGTCCGACTTGGCCCGGGCTGTCAAAATCAACTTAAACCTCACAGATGTAACATGAAATGGATTCACATCTTTAGAATAGTATTATATCTACCTAAATATCTCTTTATAGTGTCTCAGATCGCGGTTTTTAAAGAAAACAAGGTGCTCAAAGTGTTTGGCTTGTGCTCGGTCCGACTTGGCCCGGGCTGTCAAAATCAACTTTAAACACACAGATGTATCATCAAATGTGTTTATACCTGTAGCTTAGTATTGTATCTACCTATCAACCACTTTATAATGTCACAGTACATCGTATTTAAAGAAAACAAGGTGCTCAAAGTGAAGCCCTTTTCCCTCTACATTCTCAACATGGTCTCTATCAAAAGTGTTTGGCTTGTGTTGGGTCCGACTTGGCCCGGGCTGTCAAAATCAACTTTAAACACACAGATGTATCATCAATGTAGAGGGAAAAGGGCTTCACTTTGAGCACCAAGTTTTCTTTACATACCGCGATCTGAGACACTATAAAGTGGTATATAGGTAGATATTATATTATTTTCTCTTGGAACATCTATAAGATGTACAGCTACATGTATTTACCAAAAGAAAGAATCTACGTTTTTACTTCATTAAATAAACATTCACTCATTGAACATCTCCAACAATTTTGTCCATGTTGAGATCCACTGAAATGGTTAGTTCACTTGTTACATTTATATAGAACAGAACGATATTTGTGATCAAATATGATTGTGGATACATTTACCTTGGCTATATTTTAAAATTCAACAATAGCTTGCGTGTGGTTTGTTTGGAAGCATAAAATCAACTATTGTTTGTAAAAACCATTTGTGTGTGTTAATATATATATGTTTTTTTAAAGGAAGAGGTGTTTGAATAAATAATTATTTGTTTGTTCACAAACCCCTATCATGTAATTATCTTTTCCTGCATAACATATTGTTTGCATGTAAAATAAATGCCCCTGTTCACCTATGTAGAAAGTCAATAAGCGAAATAAAACTGAGTAACAGACTGTGTTTTATAGATCCATAGAAATACGATTGCATAGATGATTAATTCAGAATACAACAGGTGTAAGGTGTGGCTAATTGAAAATTAATGTATCTCGATGACTAATTGAAATGTATTTCGCAGGTAATAATCAATAAACATTGTGACAGAAAAAAAAGTGAAGGATTGAGTTGAATTTTAGTTTTGCGAAAAAGGTCCGTAGTTTCTGTGGATGAAACTTAGTTTGACAATGTTGCAAATGATCACTTTCTTTGACTTCATTACGGATTCCTGAACCTGTATCGAGGAGAATTGTTTACAGTTAAGTAAAATTCTAATTAAGATTTCTTAAAGCTGTCACGGCAGCAAATTCAAACTTCGATATCATGGTACACAGTTCTATTGTAAAGTCAGATTGGGAGTTCAGGATGGCGCCATGTATTTTTATCTCGAATTTGAAATAAGCGGTTAAATTTATATGTTTTGTTTGTTTGTTTTTTTGTTTAACGCCACACTCAGCAATATGCCAGCTATATGACGGAGGTCATGCAAATAATAAAGTCTGGACCTGACAATCCAGTGATTGACATCACGAGCATCAATCCACACAATTGCGATAAGATGACATGCATCCAATCAACCAAGTCAGCGAGCCTGACAACCAACCCGACCCCGTTAGTCGCCTCTAACGACAACCATAGTCACCTTTTAATACAAGCATTGGTTGCTGAAGATCTGTTCTAACCCTGATCTTCACAGGTCCAAATCTATATGTATTTTTATGGTGAGGCTGTCGTGATCGGAGAATAGGTTCGAGAGTTCGGTACACACATTCGTGGTCAATATCTCTCATGTTGTGGATGATAGGGATTTTGTCATGTTTTGAAGAAATGTCATCACTGGCATGCTTTTGATGGTACACAAAACGTAAGCTTTACCTCGAACATGCTAGTTCCGGTCACAATATATCTTTTACTGATTTTTGTATTAATAACATAACAACGTTTCTCAAGGTTACAGACTCCAAGGATTCATTAAAGTGCATTTTAAGCCCCTAAAATTGACAACTAACACCCTGATCGCAAAACTCCTAACGATTTATACTAAAAATAGATACGAAAACTTTTGCTGAACCCGAGATTTGAATGTCTGACAAATACGTACTTTCTTGTGTTCTCATACATAAAACAGCAGTGTAAACATGATCTAACATGGCTTAATGTGGAATGTGTCTAGGATTGTAAACTGTCCATATTATTCCAAATTGTATGCATACACATGTGTCATGTCCTTATTTGGTTTTGTGTCTCTACCCGCTAACATATGTGGCAAGATACACCTTCCAGGATAGTGGACGGTATGGACACTGGAATATTTCGAATATTTGGAAATGTGTGCATTTTAATTAATATAAACACTATTTTAAGCATCAGGAAACGGGATTTTTCTTGTCATGAATGGCGAGTATAACAACTTGGGAAGCTAGCTTGACATTTCGTTAGTACGGTCCTCATACTGTCTTTGCCTTGTTTCTCCCCAATCTCATTAGTTTCAAAAGAAACAGATAAATCGGTCATACAATGCTTTCGTTGGATTTATCAAAAAGGACCATATCAGGTTTGTTCGCTTGGATACGTCTGACTCTGTATGTGGGCGTATTCCAAAGAATTCTATATGTAAATATCATTTCCCACGACGCCCTCTGCATATTCTGGGTCGTACCATTGATGGTCTCGGAGTCAAAACCACACATTACGGTAACAAGAGGATCGAACCATGCCAAAGATACTGTGTTTGTGTCAAGCTGGACATCAACTTTGACACAAAATCACACATTGACGTTTTGAAGTGGCAAGTGACTGGTTCTGGGTCGATTTGATATGGCACCATCAACAAAATAAACATTAACATTGATATTCAGTACTGCATCAATGGGTCGTTTAGGAATATCCATTGAATGACTTGTTTTCAGTCTTGACATGCTTCACAAGAGTATGTTCAGATAAATAAATATGTGCAATAGTGCACGATTAAATTCAATCATGAAAGGCCTCCTTGTTAATCACACCATAGACGTTAAAATATGGTGATCATCCTCATCATAAACAACTATCATCATCATTATCAGTATAATGTTTATGTTCCCGTCACAGTACATCGTATTTAAAGAAAACAAGGTATAAATATAAACACATTTGATGATACATCTGTGAGTTTAAAGTTGATTTTGACAGCCCGGGCCAAGTCGGACCCAAC